TTACTTTCAGGCAGAATGTAACCATTTATTGATTTACAGGGCTAGAAAAGCAAATCAGCTACTTCAGACAAATTTTTCTTGACAATTGCATTCAACCTTCAACCTTGCTGTAGCACTAGCTAGCTATTGTATCAAGTGTATCATTGGTGTTTCTGGGACTTGTAATGTAAAACCTTGGAGTTTTCAGCTAAAAACCTTCAGCCCCACCCCCTCATTAAGTATGCAGAAAGTATGTTTAGCTGATTATCTCTGTAGTTGTTCATTCAAATTTAGTACTTATATTTTTCATAGCAAGTAATTGTGCATACCTACCTGCTGATATCAGACAGCAGTCAGAATTGCATTGCTATCATACATGAAAAAACTATTTTTCTTTATGCAACTTCCGTATTGCTAAATCTCTTCATCTTTGAAGTGGATCAAGTGAAAGGACTTTGCTTCATAAACTGCTTCATATTGCATGCCTTCGCTGCATTGTAGTAGCAAATTATTATAGTAAAAAATATTTTTTGGCAATTTAAATTAAAAAAATAACATACAACAATACAACAATGTATGGTCATGCATGTACAGTCCTGTGCTCTTCATACTTCATAGTTTGAAACTTAGATTGGACTATAATCAAACAGAGAAACATAAAATTGAATAATTACATAATTGACCTTACTTAAATGAACTATTTGATGATGTCAGTACTGAAGCATAAATCCTAAGCTTAAGAGAGACAGAGACACTAGCTAAAGAGGTAGAGAAGGAGAAGTGGCAAAGAGAGGGAAGTGCACAGCAGTGAAGTGTAATGGTAAATCAGATTAAAGAGCAATGATTACTGTAATCAAGAGTATAGCTGTAATGCTATTCAGTGCATATAAGGGCATTGGCAACAACTACTTTATTTCATAAGCTATATTGAATCAGTGACATACATGTAGGCCTGCATGTGTGTGGCATACATTTTTGCTAAATGTAAACGTATTACACATGTAGATGTAGAAAGGAAGGCAGAGAGGAAGGAATGTAGGATAGTATCATACAGGAGCAAAGATGAGAAGATGTAGAGAAAAAGACATGTAGAATAGCAAAGCTATGAAGACAGTAAAGAGTTTGTATGAGAATAGCACTTATGATTACTGTATATGTAAATAATGTGTTGATGTACTGTTCTACTCAAGTTCATGCAACTGCATGCAATAATATTTTTGCAAAAGTAAAACTACTTTAAGCCTCAACTTACTTAAACAGTAAGCTCAATAGTGGCTGTGTAGATGCTACTGTAGTTGAGTAGAGACCCAGGTCGTATCTTGCCTTCAAGGTGTGGCAGTGTTGCTCAAAACTATAGTTGCTATGGGTACTCTATACTACCATAAAGTATTATGCTACTTCATGAGGTGGTCACGAAGGGTTGTAAAACTACATTTCAGAAACTTTTCCAGTATGTTCTACAATACTATTATGAAAATATTTCCAGTACGTTTCAGGTTCAATATGTCATTATTAGGTTTGGAAATAAAATAAATGTGTATACATACACATTAATAATGTTATCAGTCATCAATATTAGACAGTGGGTCACTTGATGTATCTGTTATCATGTGACTTGAAATTGCTGAGGAAATGTCATCATTATAATGCTCGTGGACAGTAACTGCTGAGCTAGGTGTACTCCAAGTGTGCAAAGATGATAACACAGCTGCTTTGGCATTCTTTTTAGCATTTTTTAAATGTTCAGTACGAACAAGTCCTGTAGCAAAATATGCTGAACACAGCTCTTTAAGTACGTCTGTTGCTTGCTGTAATTGATAAAACACTTTCTCTGATTTACACAGTAAGACAGAAAGTTTGCCTTTCTTAAAAGAAGTTAACTTGTTATAGTTATGATGTACCACTGAATACTGTATAACATTCTCAGGTATGTAGTTAGAAGCAGGCAGATCAATTTCAAACGATAGCATCGTAGAAATATCGTTGTTGATCGTAATTAACTTCTTTTCTAAGTTTGACACAAAATTAGCAGCATCTGATACAATGAATTGCATTTCTTCTTTAGCACGGGCAATCAAATTGTACTTCTCAATTAACTGTCGTTGTGTTTCTATGGGAATGTCATTTGGTTGGCGACAAGTGTAGTCAGTATGATCAACTTGATTCCAGAAAGGTGATTGCAAGTTAAAAACATCAGTAATATTAGGTGGCGTCTCATGATGATTGCTAGGCAGTAGTGATTGATATTCATCAAAAAGCTTTTTTACTTTCGAACTACAATTTGATATCAGTTTCATAACTCTATTGGCTTGTTTTTGGCCTCCTAAATGATAACAGTAATAATACATTAACAGTACACAGTTATTGTATATATATAAAGTTTATAAACATACACTGTACCTGCATGATGGGCTATAGTGTTTAAGTAGAATGCCCTTTCTTTGACTACTTTATTGATTTCTGCTTTCACCTTTTCTCTAGCACTTATCTTTTTGGCAGCAATAACTTCCATATACTCATGGCAATCTGGTGTCCATCTACTAACAATCTGATGTTCTCCTTCAATGGCAGAAAGGGCACATTCTAGTCTAAATATGTATGTAAGCGATGTGACTTACTTATGTCACAAGCATCACCAATTACCTTATTAAGTGTTGTGCCGTGACTTGCATTGTTTCTTGACTTATTTGTAGGCCAGAAATAGCATTTATCCAACACTGCCTAAACCAAACACCAAGTTAAAAATTACTATAACTTTAAAATGTACCTCAACGAAGTTAACCTTTCCAATTTGTCAATATAATCATGTTTCCAGTTATCATTGACTGCTGTACAAAAGAAGATAATCTATCATTTACAACAACTTCAATTCATACCTAAATTGCCATCATTAGCATCCTGATACAATAATCTCCTATTTTCCTCATCTACTAAACATTTGATTATCTCTGATGGGTTAGTATTGATGTTATAACTTCGCAACAGAGAATAAAAATCAGTTTCAGATTCTAATATTTTTGATGCTTTGTCCATACGTTCAGCAAAAGAAATGCCTAAAATGTATGCATGATACAAAAAGGAGGTGAATAACTTTTACTCACATAATCGTGTAATCTTTTGTCTGGAGTAGTGATTTAAAGCATCGGTTAATACATCTACCCTGTTTGCTATGCTCATCTCTTTAGTCATCTTACAAAACTTTCCTAAATAGGACCATAATCTTTCAAGGTTTTCCCCATCACATAGTCCAAATCCTTCTTTATTTCTTGGAGAATACTTAGCTTGACACGATGCAATATGAGCATAAGAATGAAATATCGGTACACTGACATTGTAGTTTGAAAGTAAGGAAGTATGGTTATTTGCCTAAATTAAACATGATTTACATATATACATACATGTATGATTATATATTACCTTCCAGTGTAGCACAAGTTTACAGCCAACATCATAAAGCAAGTTTACAGGAGATGAACTGATATGCTCAAGGTCTTTTAAAATAAAATCAGCATAGCCTAGTCTATACAAATATTAATCATAGCAATATAATTATTGACCCACCTTTCTCCATGTTTTAAGTTAAGCATTTTGATTGGTATGTCATGACGACAGATTGCTCCAAAAACTCCTGTTTCTTCCAAAGCTTTATATCTTTTGCTTGAATGCAACGCATTACCAGCTCGAAATTGACTACAAGAAGCCTAAGTAATTATGTAAAATACAATTATACATGTACATGTATATATACACATATATAATCATTTACATTGTTTGTTTCAGGTGGAGAAAAACTTTCAATATATTCATCGACTGACTTCTGATCTAAAAATCTACCTTCCAAAAGTGGTGTATTTTGCCTCATTGTTTGAGCAGCCTTTTTTTTCCTACATAGTCTAAAATTTGCATCGAGTGATATGAAAATAGGACCACCTCCATCCTAAAAACTATAATTAAAACTGCAGAATACATAGTCATACCATAAAGGAGCAAGCAGGACAGTTTAAGTCTTCCATGAATATCTCTTGGGAAATTTTATGTTTATATGCTCTGTATAAAATAGAAGTACATAATATAAATCTAATACTTACCTATAGTAAGGAAAAGATGACGTTAAAAGCTGATATATAGACTTCTTATCCTAAAATTTCAATCACAAATTTTAAATAATTAACTTAGTCTATATACCTCATTTCGTTGAACAGAGAAAAGCATATCTACCATTTTGGCAATATCCAGTAACGATACCTGACATTCCAAAATTAATGAATGTATAAGTTCCATCAAAGAAAACGAAAAAGCAATTTGTGGAGAATGTGGTGTAGCTGGCCATAACTTTAACCCTACTAATCTTTCCATTTTTGTACAACACATACAGTATGATATTGTGATGTAGTGACGTTCTACATGAAAGATGCAACATACATATAATACTATATAATGCAAGCTTACGATTTAATGAAATAACTGTTATTTGCTCAGTATAGCTAGTCAAACAAGTATGGTCATTTCCAATGATAATGTTAGGAAGTGGTGCAGGAATAAACCTATAACCAGTCCAAAATTCAGGAGTATGATAGATATGACGTGAGGCGTGAACACTTCTGCAACAAGACTCACAGTAGTTGATACCAATGCCACAATCCAAACAGCGCAGGTGTGCCCTACCGTGACATTCTGTACATGACGCATCTGATTTAATACAGTTACTTATAGTAGTTATCGACACAAGATGTGGTATAGCTTCTTCCCATAGTTCACGTTGGTGAGCGCATCGATCAGCATAGCTCCGAGAAAGTCTGTCATCATTATCATTATTATCAGATAGATCCATGTCTGATTCATGATCTGAGAGTTCTCTGCATTAAAAAGTTGAGTCACTCGGTAGTATGCATTATAATACCCCTCCGCTAACTCCAACCCGCTCTAACCTGTCTTCATGTAGTGGTAATTCTACCGCATCAGCAGGAATTGAATCATTCTCTTGATGTAGCAACGAGAACCTGTTACTTCTTTGTCTTTTACTTCTCATAAATGTCCTTAAAGCTTTTGTTCTTTTCCACCTGCGGGTAGCCATTTTTAGTGGATGGTATATCGGTAGCTATGGATACTAGTTTGCCTACTTGCTACATGTACCTCATGAAGCACTCACGAGCAGTTGTACAACTATATTTCACGAATATTTCAATAGGTCTTACAATATTATTATGACGTTATTTCCTGTACGTATCGGGTGAATTTTAGGCAGGGCCATGGCCCTGTATGGCCCACCCGTGGCTACGCCTATGTACTACAGTAATCAGTATAATATTGATTATTAATTCAATGAAATCGCTATTAGTGGTTGACAGAGCAGGTCTGCTATCACAAGTAGCAGACCTCGTGGCTCCTTTGATCTACGTCACTAGTATACTTTATATATTTATAAGCCTGTACAATATAAGATTAAAGAGTTGGAAGCATTTCAAAATTGTAAATTCGGTTGCCATCTTGAAAAATTAACCTCAACCCTACATACAAGCTACCGCCTATATAATAATTGTATTGGCCTGTAGTTTATATCATAACATGAAAGGATAACATTGAACAGAAATCAAGTTCATGGCCTGACCAAACAACGTAATCATTTCTTGCATGCAATTGTCCACTAAAATGCAAAGGAAGTCTACTCTTCTATTGTTAGAATAGCATAACAAAACAATGGTAACAAACAATGTAGTAATGATAACAATAACTGATAATAATCAATAAATATCACATGTAGAAAGAAGTTAAACTAAATACACAGAGAAGATGGGTAGACTAGTAGGTTATATACTGTTACTTCTATCAGCTGTACTAGTAGTATCTACATTGACTGGATCTACTAACAATTACTACAATGGTAAGATACTGACTACTATACTAATGGATAATATACCTGTTTGAATTATTACACTATCAACAACAAGTACCTACTGGAGTTAAAGATTGTTGTAAGTCCAGTAATGCACTATTGATTTATTTTATTATTTCTAAGCTGTTACTAAGAAATTTGCTGAACTCACTAATGCATCAATAACTCCTAATCCAATGATACGTGGTAAAGATTATCATATACAAGGAACTTTTCACAATAGTAAGTTACATGTTCACTAACACTGTAAGTCTTTTTTTAGAGAAAACCATACAGTGGGGTATACTGCATATCACATTGACACATACTTTCAAGAGTTATACTAATATTACTTTTATTGATGAGAAATTAAATTTATGCGACTTCCTTGTTGATTTATTCAATTTACATTGTCCAATACCACCAGGAATATATCAGTTTAATTATACTGATACATGCAGAGTGCCTAGCTTCTTTTGGCCAGTGAGTAACAGATACAGTGTATCATTACTACTATTCTATTTCATAGGGTAGGTATTATGGCAAAGCTGCTGCATACAATGAGGAAGGAGAGGAAATGGTGTGTCAAATGGCAGAGCTTACTATTAACTAAACATTGATAATTTGAATAAATAGTGAAAGCAAAATAATGTAGTATCGCACAATAAGTTGTTCTTTCTCAACAATTAAGGTAGTAATAATAATTAAATATACAAATTTCTAACAAATCATAATACTGAATAAAGGAGGTAGCATTCACTGACTTATATAACTACATGCCAAAAGTAATTAAGTGACAATTGTGTCAATAAACATGAATCCATCACACAAATGATGTGTCAAAATGACAGAACTTACTAAACTGTACGTTAATGACTTTAATAGTGCAAGTATAATTTGAAGTTTTCAACAAAATTAATGTTTTTCTGTCAAAGTATTTATTAAATTTAAATCACATTGTGAGAGGGCCATTAATTTAAAAATTCTTTGTTGATGACAAGTTTGATAATCAAACCGGTACTATAATAGCTTATGATGGAGTTCAACAAGAACCAAAGAGATTCATAGATATCAACTACAAGAAACACTACTATTTAATTGTAAAAAGTATTGGTGTACAGAGCCTGAAATTACTTTCAAACAATGTTCAGACATTGTGTCTAAACATTGTTCCATTTGATCTGCCATTTTTGTAAAATGGTTGGACAGGGTCTTTCACAAGATTTTGGCATAGCTCTAATGCAGCCTTGTGTATAAGTACAAAAGGGTAATTAGATAAAAATTATAAGAAAGGAATTCTCAATTTTTATAATTTTTCCTGATGCACATACATGTTTTTATGCTATGTAAAAAGTTTGAACTGATTCTGATCAAATTTAATTTTTTTTACAAATTTTTGAACTTGCTCAAAAATTGGGCCAAAGTCACTGTACTATAGTATAGCGATTTTGGCCAAATTTTATCAAAAATTAAAAGTAAAGAATCGTTCAATTTAAAAATTTTTCCTGATAGTTATAGATGTTATTATGCTGTGTAGAAAGTGTGAGCTGATTCCGATCAAAATTTGATTTAAAAAAATTTTTTTATGTTGCTCAAAAAAATCAGGTCAAAGTCCTTGTACTACAGTATAGAGGATTTGGCCAAATTTTATCAAAAATGAAAAGTAAGGAATTCTTTATTTTAGTAATTTTTTTCCTGCTACATATACATGCAATTTAGAACTCATTCTGATCAAATTTGAATTTTTTATGAAATTCAAAAGTTGCTCCAAATGCCATATACTCTTGTAGCTCATGAAGCTTGCTGCATGCTTTATGGGAATCCTGTGGTAGGACATGTTATTTTTACATAGACAATAATCTTACAAATTACAATAAAATTATGACTGAGAACAAGTCAGTTGTTGATGATGATGCTTATTTACATTGACTTGAAAATAATCATCACTCAATAAACAAACCTGATGTTGCCATGCATACACTGTAGAAAAACTTCATTTATGCTTCTTTCATATAATTGTACATGTACATACAGATAAAAATAAACAAAAACATTGCCCAATGCAAAATACACTACATCAAAATACAAAAAAAATTCATTGCCTCATAATTCAAGTCAACGAGAAGATGGGTGGACTAGTAGAGTATATACTGTTACTTCTATCAGTTGTACTAGTAGTATCTACATTGACTGGATCTACTAACAATTACTACAATGGTAAGATGCTGACTACTAGTGGATAATATCCTTATTCCAAATATATATACTTGTACTATCAACAACAAGAACCTATTAAAGTTACAGATTGTTGTAAGCTCAGTATTACACCATTGATTTATTTGTATTAATTTTAAGCTGTTACTAAAAAGTTTGCTGAATTCACTAATGCATCATTAACTCCAAATCCAATGACTCGTGGAAAAGCATATCATATGCAAGGAATTTTTCATATTAGTAAGTTACATATTTACTAGTAGTCTAATTCTTTTTGTAGAGAAAACCATACAATGGGGTATTATACACGTCACAATGACATATAATTTCAAGGGTTATACAAATATTACTTTCATTGATGATAAATTTAATTTCTGTGACGTCTTTCTCGATTTAACAAAGTTTCATTGTCCAATAACACCACTGAGGAACATATCAATTAAATTATACATGTAATGGTACTGACACAGTACCAAAGCTCTTATGGCCAGTGAGTAACAGATACAGTGTATCATTACTACTATTCTATTTCATAGGGTAGGTATCATGCCAAAGCAACTGCATACAATGAAAATGGAGAAGAAATGATGTGTCAGGAGACAGAAGTTACTATCAACTAAACTAAACTGCATGTAATAACACTTAAACACAATTACTTTAACATTTAAATTACACATGTTTTTAATGCCAAGAGTACACTAATACTTAGACAGAAAAAAAGAAAGTTATATCACCCTATAATACACACACAAAATAAGGCAGTTCCAATAAAATTACTTGGTTTACGGATCCGACCGACTCCAATTTTTGGAAAATCAAAATAAATTTAAATTTTCTAATGCGCATGCGCAGTACTACGTGGTGGGTGTGGCTAGATTCAAAATGGCGCTAAATGTATTTGTTACTGTTAAAAGAGCAAGCTCCTCTATCTTACCTTCCACTGTATGTGAAACCTCTGTGGCATCTACTGTTTGGGACTTATTAGAGCAGCCATTCATGTTAAATAAGCCTACACTCACAGAAGTTGCTAGAGTATTTTGATAGTTTGTTTTAAAAAGTTGTGGTTAACTAACAGTTATTAAAGTTAATTAATAAGTAGTTAATTAATTTCATTGTTTATATTTTAATTTATTCCGACCGGCCTGCTCTATTTTAGAGAAAAAAAATCCGTAAAACAAGTAATTTAGTTTGAATTGCCTAATAATAATATTATTGACATGACTCACATTGTATTCCTCACACATATATGGCCAGGTATGAGGGCATCAACGAAATAAAATAGCTGATTTGTGTATAATGCAGGTATGGGGAGCTTCATTAACATTAATTACAATTTTTAGCTATTGCAATATAAATTGATGTGTATAGTGCATGAACAATAAAATAATAAATTCCGGATGAGGGCAGGAAATGAAAAAACAATGAATCTAATTGGAGTAGCCTAAGCAGCAAAAATTACTTACAGATATAAACAAGTGCCACAAAATTAAACAATAACATTGAAACTACATGTACATGCAAATGTAGCCAAGTGCATCGCACTGTGACTGTATCTACTTCAATAAACAATAGCATAAGAAAGCCACTTGCACTACTACCTACCTAAAGATGAACATCTTATTGATAATCCTATCAGTTGTACTAGTCACTACATTGACTGGATCTACTAACAATTACTACAATGGTAAGATACTGACTACTATATACTAATAGATAATATACCTGTTTGAATCAAATATACTATCAACAACAAGAACCTACTGGTAATAAAGGATTCACAGATTGTTGTAAGTTCAGTAATACACTATTGATTTATTCTATTAATTTTAAGCTCTTACTAAGAAATTTGCCCAATTCTTTAATGTATCATTAACTTCATATACACTAAAAAGAGGAGACAGGATTCACTGGAATGCAGATCTACAGATTAGTAAGTAACAATAACTGTGGCAATAATTTAAAACATGAATCCATTTATAGAGAGGACCATACAATGGGGTATACTGCATTTCACAATGATACACCAATTCAAGAATTATACTAATATTACTTTTCTTGATGATAAATTTAATTTATGTGACTTCTTTGTGGATTTAACCAATAAACACTGTCCAATACAACCAAGAATGTATCATTTATACTATCAAGCCCAAATCCCCAACCTCTTTTGGCCAGTGAGTAACAGATACAGTGTATCATTATTACTATTCTATTTCATAGGGTAGGTATTATACCAAAGGTACTGCATACAATGAGGAAGGAGAGGAAATGGGGTGTCAACAGACAGAAGTTACTATCAAATGACTGGAATATTAAATATACTTACTGACTTAGTTATTTGAAGTTTTTAATGTCTTTTTTGAACATTTTGCCAGAATAAACAAAAGGACCATGAATACATGTATCATAGTTAATTTATAATTACTTAGTTGATGACAACCACATACTAAAAAGTCCTTAACATAAAAGCCAACATGAACTATAAGACATTCACTATACAAGAAGCTTACAAAAAATAAGTCTCAATTGACACTATAAACAATTAAAGAATAAACCATTAAATTTGATGAACAGTGTAAATATAAAACAAAATTGTACACCAAAATACATATTAATAATAAAGACTATATGAAGGCAATAAAATAAAACATGGAACATGGCACAAATGTCATCTGTTGATAGTAATGTATCATGCTTATTTACCCTCACTTAATTAGCTAAAAATAATCATTACTCTATAAACAAACCTGATGTTACCATGCACATGTAGTCATATTTCATACAATTAAATAAAAATTAACAAAAAGCATTACACAATGCAAGATACACTACATGTTGTATTGTGTACTTACATGTAATTAATGATAAGAATCCACTAATTATAGCGTTATAGTTAGAAGTTTGAACTCATTCCAATCAAATTTGGTTAGTTTCATGAATTTTAAAAGTTGCTACAAATGCCATGCACTCTATTGTAGTTCATAAAGCTTGTTCACTTAGTATGCTTTGTGGGAAACCCTGTGGTAGGAGACATTAATCATACAAACAACAATAAGGTATGACTGAGAATAGCAAGTCATTGCTGATAATGATGATGATATTTACATTGACTTTAAAATAATCATTACTCAATAAACAAAACCTGATGTTGCCATGCATACACTGTATAAAAACTTCAATATGCTTCTTTCATATTGTACATACAGATAAAAATAAACAAAAACATTGTATAGCACAAAATACACTGCATGAACAATTGAAAGTACAGAAAAACTCTATTGTCTCAGAAATCAAGTCAATATGGGTGGACTAGTAGAGTATATACTGTTACTTCTATCAGTTGTACTAGTAGTATCTACATTGACTGGATCTACTAACAATTACTACAATGGTAAGATACTGACTACTATACTAATGGATAATATACCTGTTTCAATTATATATACTATCAACAACAAGAACCTACTGGTAATGAAGGATTCACAGATTGTTGTAAGTTCAGTAATACACTATTGATTTATTTTATTAATTTTAAGCTGTTACTAAGAGATTTGTTGAAATTGCTAATGTATCAGTAACTCCTAATCCACTGATTCGTGGGAAAAAGTATCATTTGCAAGGAAATTTTCATTTTAGTAAGTGCATGAACCAATTCCATATCACTAACAATCATTTCCTAGAAAGAACCATACAATGGGGTATACTACATATAAAAATGACATATAACTTCAAGAACTATACTAATATTACTTTCATCGATGAAAAATTTAATTTTTGTGACTTCCTTGTTGATTTATTTAAGTTACATTGTCCAATAACACCAGGAATATATCAATTGAATTATACATGTAATGGTACTGATACATTACCAAAGCTCCTTTGGCCAGTGAGTAACAGATATAGTGTGTCATTATTACTATTCTATTTTATAGGGTCAGTATTATGGCAAAGGTACTGCATACAATGAAAAAGGAGAGCAAATGATGTGTATAAGTAAAGAAGTCACTGTCAAGTAAAACTGTTTATTAATGACTTGAATGCATGTAAATAATAAGAAACATATTGAAGTTTTTAACTAGATTTTATAGCATGCATGTGGTGAAACTTTTAAGTCACAAGTTGATAACAAGAGAGGCATTGATGCCATTTTAGTCACGGTAATTTACAAACTTTTAGATGATGATACCAAAACCACAACCAAGCAGATTGCTTATAATATGAGGTCCATTAAGAAGATTATAACAAGCTTGAGTACCTGATATACCATTTAATCAATGTATACATACTCTATTACCTAAGAATTATTCTAATAATGGGTAAAATAGAAGTTCCTCAAAGCATTCTAAACACAGATAGACATGTAGAAGTGAAAGAAGCAAGATAAACAAACCGGCACACATGCATGGGCTGTTGTTTAGATGAATCATCATAACCTGACATGGGTCAGTTATTGTAGCCTCAAATCAGTTGAAATAGCCATGGAGATTGATTTCACATGTACCTCTGCACTTTCCCACAAGCAAAAGAGCGGTACAAACTTCCAGCACAACTATATGGTTTGTCATTGAATACTTCATAAGTACACAGGTATTAGACCCATACAAAACGAATGTCTGTACATTGATATAACCATGCACAGTGTCATGTTTAACCAATTCATGTCTACATCATCAATCTATGACCTACTTCTCCTACTGTCCAAACAAATAGTTGAATCCATGTTCTATCAATGTTAAAGGCATGTCTCCTTTCCTCTTGACTTGGTGCATGGTAGAACATTTCAGTTCCATCTGAACAATTGATTTAAGGCAATTTAAGAAATTCCTTTTTGTAATCTGAGAAACAATAACCAATACAGACTAAAGATGCTTGACAATTTTGTCATCATTGTACACTGGAACTTCATAATGAAAGGTAAACTCATTAAAGAAACTTATAGCAATTAGACTAAAACAACAGATTATAGTGAGGTACCAGTAGCACAGTAAAAGAGAAGATGGGTAGACTAGTAGAGTATATACTGTTACTTCTATCAGTTGTACTAGTAGTATCTACATTGACTGGATCTACTAACAATTACTACAATGGTAAGATACTGACTATTATACTAATCGATAATATACCTGTTTCAATTATATATATATACATACATCTATACTATCAACAACAAGAACCAATTAATTTCACATATTGTTGTAAGTTCAGTAATACACTATTGATTTATCTTATTAATTTTAAGCTGTTACTAAAAACTCGGATATACTCACTAATTTATCAGTAACTCCTTATCCACTGATTCCTGGGAAAGGGTATCAAATTCAAGGAACTTTAGTCATTAGTAAGTGATATATTCATTAGTTTGTACTGTAAATATTTTTTTAGAGAAAACCATACAATGGGGTATACTGCATTTTACATTGGCACATAATTTCAAAAATTACACTAAAATTACTTTCATTGATGAGAAATACAATTTATGTGACTATTTTGTTGATGTATTAAACTTACATTGTCCTATGCCACCAGGAACATATCAGTTTAATTATACTAATAAAAGGAAAATACCAAAGTTCCTTCAGAATTGGCCAGTGAGTAACAGATACAGTGTATCCTTAATTACTATTCTATTTCATAGGGTAGGTATTATGGCAAAGGCACTGCATACAATGAGGAAGGAGAGGAAATCATGTGTCAAATGACAGAAGCTACTATAAATTAATGACTTAACAAAAAATAGTGAAGCACATGCATATTTTAAAGAGCACTATAATTACTCAAAGTTAATTGTGTTTTCTTCAAAGACGCTGCTGTCTAAGTAATCATTACAACATCAACAAAATAAACAAAAATAAAAAGTTCCTTGCAACTAATGAATATCATTTTTCATGAAATCCCTACTGATTAATGGTGATAATAAAATGAAAATAGACACACAACTATAATGGGAGATCAATGGCTAAGACTTCATTGGAGGCTTGACAATTCTTAGCAGTAATTAATTAACTGAAATTTGTAACCATACATAACAATGATTACAATATGCTAGTAGTGTATATAATAGTGTATAGTGTATTTTTATACATACATATTACAATTAGACCGCACATCATAGAGTATACACAAAAAACCAACAAAGTAAAGGCAGCACGTAGTGAATAGCAATTATGTACTTTATACTTGCACTTATAAAGATAGAAGCTTAATGGAATTATATTAAATACATTATTCATCATGTTCGAAGTTATGTACAGATTGTCATCCCTTGATTATAATTAAATCCCATTCACAAAAAAGTGAATGACTACTGCATGCTACCAACAACAAAAACCTACTGGAGTTAAGATTGTTGTAAGTTCACTAATGTACTATTGATTTAGTTTAAGCTGCTACTAATAAAATGTTAGTGATCATTAACTTGACATCCACTGGTTAATGGGAAAAGCTCTATTGGTAAGCATAGCTACACAGTAGTGAGTTAGAACAACTAACATCATGCTATACATGTAATAATCACTGGTATAAAGAGCCATACAGTGGGTTATAAAGTATTTTACAATGAAATACATGATACATGCATGTACATGTATAATTTCAAGATTTATATATAATCACTTTCATTGACAAAAAATTAAATTTATGAGACTTCTTTGATGATTTAACGAGACACCTACGGTGCATGGCCTCGCCCCTATAGCTGCTATGGTGCATGCCCGCACTGCAATAGCTGTTTGATTATCAGCATGAAGAGAGTCTGCTCAACACTACCTTCCTGCAGTTGCACTTGCTCTTGAATACCTGCAGAAGTAGCAGCACTGCAGCACATACATGCAAGCAGCTCCAGCCCCTCCCATGCATGTAGATTGAAAGGTGTGGCATTCCATCATAACTGGAATGATTGGCAGCAAGAAGACCATGTGAGAAAGAAGCTTCACTTTTTCTTTACTAATCAGCAATATATGATAAACTTGCTGACAAAAAAAGTTGCTGCCTTTGTATATTTGAGATAGTATAGGTACTTTAGTACCTATAACCCAGCAAGTTGTTGCTCTAGCGCTGCACAAACGAGTGACCTCAACAATTTCAAGTAAGTATAACTCTTCATCAAGTAAGATTTAGAGAAATCTGTTCATATTATTTGAAGGCCATGTTCTAATCTACTGAAAAATGCTACCATCTATCTCTAAAGTGCCAACACAACGGAACTTGGTCCAACTGCTCGATTTTCTTACTTTGAAGCTTCTGTACCTAGCACTTGTATTTGAGCAACACAAAACAGTTAAGAAAGACTTTTCCACGCCGAAAAGAAAGATCTAGGAGCTTGAAACATGCTGTGCTAAAGTTATTGTTTATTAAAAACAAATTTCAGTTGTACAGAATTAATAGAACTATAATGCTCAAGTACCAAACCTATTATGGCCTGTAAGTATAAAAGATAAGGTCAATTTTGCTGCTTATGATGATAAAGGAGAGCATGCACTATGCCAGACAATAGAACTTGTCGTGTCTCATAAATAATGTTTCCAGTGAACATTATTAATGAATATACTGTATCTATAATGTACAGTGCAGTGCCTTAATTAATACATGTACATGTAGAATAGATGTAAATACAATAAATACATGCAGGTACAGTATATGTGCATAATGACAATAAACACAACTTACCCAAGTACAACTGTACATGCATGCATTATAAATACACAGAGAGTACTCTTCATTCCAATTATGAAAGATACAGCTGCATGTATATACGTGTACATGTACATAAGTGCACAAGGTTCCCTCCAGGATTATGTAACCACAATCATTTCACATAGCAGACAATAGAAAGGCTTTTGGTATTTTAACATACATTTTTTAAAATCGCATTTCAAAGGGTTTTTTGTGCTCTTTCATAACAGTTCAGTGAGAACCCTGTAGAGTGAGTAGTGACTAACTTGTTCCTTTGTTCTATTGAACAATCTCTCCAGTTGTGCTTTCCTCTTAAAAAAATTCTCATGAGGAGCATCATAAGATATTAGCTGACTGTCCTCTACCAAAGGATCACGTAACTTTAATAAACAATTATAAACACTGTAATAATGAGCCTTGAGATCCTCCACTGAGTGTTTCTGAGATTGAGAGACAGAGATAAGAGGAAGATACATAAACATTGAGATGGTATGAGAAAGAGAAAGAGAAGTAGGGGGAGGGAGAATTAAAAAAATAACAATAAATGACATGAAGTGTTACATACACTGTGTACATGTACATGTACAAACTCTTTGCTTCCTTTTTGTACTTGGCTTCACATTCTTCTTTTCCCACCTTCATTCTCATCATTATTATTACTATTACTATTATTGATTTTTATTATTTTTTTATCTGCACAATTCAAAAGCAAAGACAAAGGCTATAGGTTTTTTGGAAAATTTGCTCTGAAATCACCTCAAATTTTTATTATATTTTCCGATACATACTGATTTTCTTATGTTATGTAGAAAGCTTGAGTTATTTCCAACAAATTAATTTCAAGTTATGCACAAAAAATAAATTTAAACAATAGCCCATGATTTATTCCAAAAAATTGCTCTGAAATTATCTCCAATTATTATTAATTTTTTTGATACATTTTGATGTCCATATGCTAGGTTGAACCAATGTCAACTTAATTTTTTAGATTGACCTTTTTTAAACTGCCAAATTAAAAAAAATGAACTGTACTATTACCCATGGTTTTTTCAAAAATTGGCTCCAAAATCACCCCCAATTTTTATTAATTTTTTGATACATATTGATGTCCTTATGTTCTGTAAAAAGTTTGAGTTCCGACAAATAATTTTTGAGTTATGTGCATTTTTAAAAATAGGTCAATTTAGCCCATGCTTTTTCCCAAAAAATGGGTCTGCAATTACCTCTAATTTTTATTACATTTTTTGATACATATTGATGTCCTTATACTGAGTAGAACGTTTGAACTGATTCTGACTTAAATCTTTTATGTTATGGCCATTTAAAAAACAAGCCAAAATCAGAAAAGTACCCTGTACTATAGCCCATGGTTTTTTCCAAAAAATGGCTCCAAAACCACTCCCAATTTTTATTACATTTTCTGATACTATTGATGTCCTTTTACTGTGTTGAAAGTTTGAGCTGATTCCGACTTAAATTTTTCAAGTTATGGCCATTTAAAGAAATGAGCCAAATTCGGAAAAGTACCCTGTACTATAGCCCATGGTTTTTCCCAAAAAACGGCTCCAAAATCACCCCAAATTTTTATTACATTTTCTGATACATATTGATGTCCTTATGCTGTATAAAAAGTTTGAGCTGATTCCAACTTAAATTTTTTAAGTTATGGCCATTTAAAGAAACGAGCCAAATTCGGAAAAGTACCCTGTACTATTATAGCCCATGGTTTTTTCCAAAAAATGGCTTCAAAATCACTCCCAGTTTTTATTACATTTTCTGATGCATATTGATGTCCTTATGCTGTGTAGAAATTGTGAGCTGATTCCGACTTAAATTTTTCAAGTTATGGCCATTTAAAAAAACGAGCCAAATTCGGAAAAGTACCTGTACTATAGCCCGTGGTTTTTTTCCAAAAAATGGCTCCAAAATCATCCCCAATTTTTATTAAATTTGCTGATACACTTTGATGTTCTTATGCCATGTAAAAAGTTGGAGTTGTTTGTGGCAAATAATTTTTGAGCTATGAGCATTTTAAAATGAGCAAAAACTACATCAAAAAATTATAATTACTATAAGCTAATGTACTGTACATGTAACTGGAATAAAGTAGTGATATTGACATGACTTACAGTGTATTCCTCATCAGTGTAAGATGGAAAACTTGAATTGGGAAGTTTCTTGTTGAACTACACAAAAAGATAATCTTTACCATCTCAAAGTCAATGATGAAACACCAGCTCATCCTAAATTAACAATTAGCACTTGATAGCTACAATTCTAGAAAGTACATGCACTAAGGCACAAATTAAGTAAATCCGAGTAGTCTAAATATTTTTAAAATGAGAATTTGAGATTACAAAATAAACTAGCTACAATAAAAAGATTTACTTCTGTGGATGAGTTTGTGAATGGCATCCATTTCCAATTGGGTCTAACGTGCTTCCTTCCCAGTCTTGTCAGTTGGTACAGTGATGTACTAAAAATTAAAAGATAAAATTAAAATGAGACAAGTATAAAGATATGCCACTGGCATAATGTACATGTACATGTACATGATATTTTCTCCATAAATCACAATAATATGAACGCACTGTACTGAGTCTGCTGACATAAACAAAGTTTGATAAATGTTCCAATAAAACTCACTCAAAATAAGGGTCAATTACATACAGCAAGAATTAAACAAATGGCAGTACACAAAAATAATTAATGAACTCTATTATGCCGACATGTATCACCAGAGTAAAGTAGAGCATACACTTCTCTGTTCTTACCAGACAAATGACTACATAGTGAAGGGTGGAGCTGTTACAGGCAGTATGGTCATGCATGGTGCATTGTGCATGTGCTGTAATGCATGCAGATGTACTATATAGTGGCCCAGATACCTGTACACTTATAATACTTAATGTGTGTAACAATTATTAGGATCACAATTATTGATTATATAATTAAAACAAAATTATTATTGATTAGTAGTTACTAGAAAATCAAATGAAATCAGAATCATTATTACCATAGTACAAAACAAGGAATTGTTAATGAATTTTGGTAAGTGTCCTTAAATTGTTAACTATTGCACGATTCTACGATGAATAGCAAGCGATCCATTGAAACTACAGACATATAACAATCCATCCTTGTCAAAAGCTAATGAAGTCAGACTACTATCATAGTAACGTTCACCTGCTGTTCCAAATGAACACTTAAGGACTCCCTCACTATCCAATACAGTGATCCTATCACTGTCCTCTTTAGTTACATACACTAAACCTGTATCTGCAGTGTCTATTGCTATACTGTATGGTGAGCTCTTTTGCTGTCCAGGACGAGATCCCTCAATATCAAACTGTCCAACAAACTCTCCAGAAGGAGAGAACTTCTGAATGCGACAATTAGCCTCAGTAACATACACTAATCCTTGACTGTCAATAGCAATGTCATGAGGAGCTTTAAACTGTCCATTAGCTGATCCTTTACTACCAAATGCATGAGAGAAGGTTAGATCTGGATTTAAGACTTGTATACGGCAGTTACCACTATCAGCAACATAAATCTTTCCTGTTTCTGGAGAAATGGCTAAACCAGTAGGCATTTTAAATTGTAGTGGTCCTTCGCCCTCCTCACCTACTAATGCTACAAGGTATCCATCAATGCTTATCTTCTGGATCCTGTTGCTATCAGACACAAGAATGAATTTGTCTGGAGTGAAGGCTATGCCACGAGGAAAACAAAACTTGACATTACCACTTTCTTCTCCTAATGATTTCACTTTCTTTCCTTCTCTATCCAGTATCGTCACACAATTATCATAACACTCAGTTACTATAACGTGATTATCATCGGTTACAGCAACTGCCCAGGGATAAACTCTAAGGCACTCAGGAATAGCATGTACTGGAGTGATGCTCCCAAGGTCAATGTAAGGGATAAAAGAATCCTTAAGATGTACACTATCCACTTGTATTTTGACTGTATGAGAACCACTGGTTGAAGGGTTACACTGTATCCTATACACTCCAGGATCAGTGCTGGCAGTAGTGACTGTAGTGTGAATGGGCTCATCACCTTCACCAACTAGACTACTTCTCAGAAAAGAGAGGGGGATACATAGAAGGGATGAATCTGGAGCCTCCATTGATAAAGAAAGCGAAACAGGTTTCACTTTGGGATCTGCTATCTTATTCATTCTACAGTATTATGGAGCCTGGAAGATGTGGAGACTGGATGAAGAATCAAGGAACAGTACTCCATTAATTAGTAGAAAGGGGTGGGATTTGAGCATAATCCAACCAATCAGTGGAATCATTGTGCAACCATGTAGCACAGTAGCAAGTACCTACCTCAGTCAAAGGTTAGTAATTAGTCTGTCACTAGTGGTGACAGACTAATTACTTCCCTCTGACTGTGGCAGGAAAAGGAATTCACCAATTAAGCAGATGTATTTCCACAGCAATGTATCTTTATTTGCTTCTTGTACTACATAGACAAATACACCCAAGAGTTACCATGTGGTCCATGCCTGATCCAGGACTGTTGCTCAAAATTACTGGATCAGGCCTGATATTGGTACTATCATTGCTGAATCAGGAATGTCAGTCTGGCCTGATCCAGTATTGATACTTATCATGCTCCATGACTGTATCAGGACTGATTACCCAAAAACCACGGTCTATGTCTGATATCAGGACTGATTCAGGCTGACATTAGGCCTGGTCTCTTGGTGGTGTATAATCACGTTGATCAGAGATTCAAACCTGATTCAGCCTGAAACCAGGCCTGATGTCAGGCATGGACCATGGATTTTGGGCAATCAGTCCTGATACAATCATGGAGTCAGCCATGGTACAGGCATGATAAGCATCAGGCCAGACAGGCATTCCTGATTTAGCAATGATAGCCAACAGGGATGTACCAGTACTGATATCAGGCTTGATTCATTAATTTTGGACAACATTTTGAATCAGGCCTGAATATACTTGGCTGTATACCAATAGGATTGAACAATATGACAACAGTTACAAGACAATACTTTAGTGCTCTAGCTCTCCATTGACACAAATCAATCATGATGACTGAACAGTGAAACTACTTTAGGAGGACTCTGGGCTCATGACCCATAACATTAATTAATAATATGTACATGTTACTTCTTACCCTGTAATCATCACTATTACAGATATTATTATTACCCCATACCTGTCAAATACAGTGCATAAAAACTCCATAAATTGTTCTTAAAAAATAGGTTTTGACAACTTTAGACAAACAAATATACCCACTGCGTTTAGCTCCAATAAACTCAGGGAAGGAAAGAGGGAACAAAGAGAAAGAGACAGCAAATGATATACATGTATTGTAAATCAAATGGATCAGTACATTAATTGATGATAATGCATAAGCAACTACGGATTGATCTGTAGAAGTACAACCTAAGAAGACAGGAATAGAAAAATAGATCTTTATTATCATTCTTAGTTAATACTTGATTTGATATATGTATAAATATGTGCATGCAAAATTAGTGTCAAAGTCATGTGCAGAATTTCTCATAGGACTATGGCATAGTGCTCAGGTAGCTTCCTGCCAATGGATTGTCAATTTACTCAAAAATCGGACCAAACACCATGTAGGGTATTTTGACAAGAATCATTAGGAGAGAACTCCCTATTTCCATAAATTTTTTGATATATAACATAATATATATACATGTACATGTACAGGCTATAGCACATAGTTTTTCTAAAAATTGGCTCCAAAATCTCCCCAAAATTTCATTACGTTTTAAATACACATTAATGTCTTAAAATATAGATCTGAGCTGTTTTTAACAAAAAATTTTTGAGTTATAAGCATTTAAAAAACAAGGCAATTTAAAAAAATCAAGGCTATAGCCCAATAAAGGTTTTTTCCCCAAAAATTAGCTTCACAATTACAATTACATTGTTTGCATTGTGCGTGTGATGTGATGCATGCTGATGTACTACTATATAGTGCCCCAGATACCTGTACACTTAATAATCAATTTTAAAAGTGCCAATGGATAACAATTATTGATTATAATTAAAACCAAAAATGAATTATTGATTAGTAGAAAATCAAAATTAAATCACAATCAATATTAGTCTATCATGACACAAAACAAGAAATTATAATAATAATAATTTTTGGTATCTTTTATTAAACTGTTAAGAATTGCAATCAACAACATGATTCATTACTCATGTTAACAGCAATGATTGATATTATAATTACATACATGGTAACTCTAGATCTGTGTCAAAATTGCTAAATGAATTAGCAAAAATGTGAAAACCAATTATTATGCCACAAAAATTAAATCAGCTAACTTTAAAACTACAGCACAAAAACTATAATATATAAAGCAACTATAAATTAAGACACAAAAAGTGTGGCCAAGCCAGCCTTATTATTTGTCATTGCTTAATTTTGTTGTACCTTGTCCAGTTACTTCAGACAATGTTTTCATTTCTTGTTGCTTTGCATTGTATCGATTGTAAGCATTCTTTATAAACGATATGAAAATGGCTGAAAGTGACTTGATACTTGGTTGTATGTTCTTCTTCTTGGACGAGTCTGGTTTACCAGCTGGGGTTTTAGCAATTAGTAGCTGTTTAACATCAGACCGATCATAACACTCAATTCCACTCACTATATCTAGTGCATTCTCTCCTCTTTCATTTGTTTTGTTAACATCAGCTCCAGTTTGTATCAGCGTTTTAACTAGTTCAATGTGTCCACATGAAGCTGCTATCATTAATGGGGTCATACCAGCTACCAGTGGAGTATTGGGACTCGTACCAACTTCATTAACCATGCTACTTAATGTGTCTAAATCTCCTTCAGCAGCTGCTACCAATAATTTTCTCTCATTACATGATAGACTAATATTTTCAGACATGTAAATTATCATTGATGAATGACCTCCATAACATGCCCAAGTAAAAGCATTAATGATGTTTTCTGATGTGATGTCACATTTTTCTATTAAAACTGTCATTGCAGCAAAATTATTGAAGAGTGCTGCAATGTCTAATGAATGAAGCGGCTCCAAAATAGAATTAAAGTGATTATGATTAGCGTGAGAATCAAGTAAAAGCTTTATTATCTTAGCATAATTACCTGATTGCATACTGTTGTGAATTTGGATAGACTGGTCATAATCAGGCATTTCAAATTTAAGAATAGATAGAATAGATGTACTAGAGCAAACTAGGGCATAAGTTAATGCACTTAAGCCATTATTATCCTGAATGTCAACATCTGAGTTTTTACTCAACAAGAGTTCAACAATCTGATGATGCCCGTAGGCACTAGCAGCCATCAGAGCAGTTAATCCATTTTTATTTTGAATATTAATATCTGGATTTTTATGCAGTAAAAGTTCAACAACCTGGTAATGTCCATTGCTACTAGCAGACAACAAAGCAGTCTCTCCGTCATTACTTTGAATGTTGATATTTGGATCTTTACTCAGTAAAAGTTCAACAACCTGATAATGTCCAAAGTAACTAGCAGTCATCAAAGCAGTAAATCCATCATTATCTTGAACATTCATATCTGGACTTTTACTCATTAAGAGTTCAACTACCTGGCAGTGTCCATTGCCACTAGCAAGAATCAAAGCAGTATATCCATTAAATTGAGCATTAATATCAGAATCTTTACTGAGTAATAGTTCAACAATTTGGTGATGACCACAAATACAAGACAACATCAAAGCAGTGAATCCATCATTATTTCGAATGAAAATGTCTGGATTTTTACTTAATAAGAGTTCAATAATCTGGTGATGTCCATAACGACTAGCATTCATCAAAGCAGTCCATCCATCGTAACTTTGAGTGTTAATATCTGGATCTTTACTCAGTAAAAGCTCAACAACCCTATGCTGTCCATTGGCACTAGCTATCATTAAAACAGTGAATCCATCATTGTTTTGAACGTTAATATCAGGATCTTTACTAAGTAATAGTTCAACAACTTGTTGATGACCATGGTAACTAGCTGACATCAAAGCAGTCCATCCATCGTTATCCAGAATATTAATATCTGGATCTTTACTCAGTAAGAGTTGAACAACCTCATGCTGTCCATTGGCACTAGCCATCATTAAAGCAGTGGATCCATCATTATTTTGAAGATTAATATCTGGATCTTTACTCAGTAAAAGTTGAATGACCTTGTGATGTCCATCGGCACTAGCATCAATTAAAGCAGTGGATCCATCGTTATTTTGAAGGTTAATATCTGGATCTTTACTCAGTAAGAGTTCAATGACCTTGTGATGTCCATTGGTGCTAGCATAAAATAAAGCAGTGGACCCATCATTATCTTGAATGTTAATATCTGGATCCTTACTCAGTAAGAGTCTAACAACTTGGTAATGTCCATAGCGACTAGCATACATCAAAGCAGTCCATCCATCATGACTTTCAATGTTAATATCTGGATCCTTACTCAGTAAGAGTTCAACGACCTGGTGATGCCCATTACGACTAGCAAACATCAAAGCAGTATGTCCTGCAGATTGAATATTAATATCTGGATTTTTACTCAGTAAAAGTTCAACAACATGGTGATGTCCATTACCACTAGCAAACATCAAAGCAGTACATCCACGATTTTTATGAATGTTAATATCTGGATTTTTACTCAATAAAAGCTCAACAACCTGATGATGTCCGTAACGACTAGCAACCATTAAAGCAGTCCATCCATTCTTATTCTGAATGTTAATATCTGGATCTTTACTCAGTAAGAGTTTAACAACTTCATGATATCCATAATGACTAGCAAAAATTAAAGCAGTCAATCCATCATTATTTTGAATGTTAATATCTGGGTGTTTACTAAGTAAGACTTCAACGATCTGAAGATGTCCATTGGAACTAGCACACATTAAAGGAGTCTGTCCATCATCTTTTTGAGCATTAACATTTGGATTCTTACCAAGTAAGAGTTGAACTGTCACAAAGTCTCCTCTCATGCAAGCAATCATAAGTTTAGTGTTATCATTTTGCAGAGGCAAACTGATGTTTAGTTCAGATAAGAAAAACAAAACTTTGGTATTGTTATTTTGATAAGCTTCCTGTAGTGCAGCCTCAAATGTAAAAGATTTATCTTCCTCTTCCTTCATGACAACAATATCATTCACAATTACCTCAAATACACCAATCTTACATAACAATAACCTTTGTTCCAAAGGCGCTTTTACTAATGTATCTGTATATGATTGAGGTAATAAATACGTGCATATAAGGCTGGAGGTACCACAATGTATATCTTGAAGTGTTAAATAAAATGCAATATCTTGGAAGTAAAAAATTTCTGCTTTATTCAATTCAGTTATTGTCCTTGAGCACCAAGGTTTGTTAAGTCTTAGAATTAATTTTGAACAGCAGAGAACACCATCAGGATATTGCACTTGCATACCTTTGGTAATCATTGCAAGCTCCAGTAGGCTAGTGGTGTCTTTGAATATCTTCAGGTTAGCATTGTAATCTTCTACCTGTTCCTTGATAGGTTCTGTGATAGTACACAGTATTGTGAGTAGGTTGATGTTCAAATATGAGTAATGAGGCTGGAGCAACTGCAAGAGTTGATTAACATTTTTATAAGTAGCATCTTCTTTGATATAAAAGGGAAAGTTTTGTCTTGCATCTCTAACCAAAGATTCACTGGTCAAAATATAGGTAGCAGTATCAATGAAGTTACTACTCAATGCATGTAAACAGTTTTCCAGCAATTGAAATCTTTCTTTTAAATTATTTTTAATGACACATATGAATGAATCATACGAAGAACTACATACGCCTCTTTCTTTAACAGCCATATCTAACATGTCTTCAACTGAGATGCCATCTTGTGGCATAATTTTCTCTCCTCCGATTGATTTGTATATATGCTCAGAAAGAGCAGTGCATGCTAAACTGTTTAATCCAATGCATCCTTTATTTGCTGGTAGTTGTACAAAAGGATCAGCACCATTTAGTAGCAATGATTCAAATACTTCAATGTGTCCACCTTCACTAGTTAGCATCAGTGCATTCTTACCATTAGTGTTCTGGTAATTTAGTTCTATTTCAAGTTCTATTAGAAGTAACGATAATTTGTGATATTCTAGATTACTTTCGATGCTCACAATGGACTCTAGAAGTGATTCTTCAAATATAAAACTAGCATCTTCGTCTCTGTCAATGATAGTTTGATTGTCAATGATTAGTTGAAATATACCAAGAAGATGTAAAAAGTGTAATTTAGCTTGTGATTTCACAATAAGAGATTTGACTGATCTGTTGGAAGAAACCAAAAATTCAATACAAATTGATCCTTGTAAGAACTTCTTTATGGTAACACATTTTGCTTCTTCATCAAATAAATATTTTATTAGCTTGAGAAGGTGGCCTATGGTTTTTCTATTCCATTTTCTGGACAGTTTTAGAATAATTTTAGGATCAACTTTGGTACTTTCTCCAATGATTGCTGCTCCAATAGTTGTAACCATGTCATCAAGTTTTACAGAATCAATGAATTTATTAACGTCATCACTATATTTATCAAACCTAACCTGTAAAGCAGTATCATCAATCGGATAATCTTCTATGAGATCATTTATTGCATCAATGTCAATAAAACTGTGATGAGGCTGCATTCGCTCAAATATTTCATCAACAGTTACATTCTCACATGCTAAACCAGTTTCATCAAAAGTGGCTTGAACCCATCGAGCAATAACAATTGCATCATGTTTTCCACTGGATGCATAATATGTAATTATGTCAGTAATCAGCTTTGCATATTTCTTGTGTAGGTTTCGAAGGTCAATTGCTAAATTATCGTTAGAGCTAAGTTGTAGTTCTTTTGGAATAAATTCTGAGACCGCCTCAGTAAGAGTGAATGATACTTGATGATCTTTAAACACTTCATTCTCCCAGTCTCTAGCTAGTGCCATTACCTCTTCTTGAGCTGGACCTCCTGCAGTTGATAGACACTCTATAAAAAGGGAACACACCTCCATCATCTTTTTTGCATCCCCTTGGTATATAGAAATCATTGCCGAAAAATCTATTTCAATCTTTCCAACAGTTGGTGAATGCATAACTTCTTTAGTAATCAAATCTTTGCTATACAACTGACTGGCTACTTCTAAAAGGCATTTTTTGGTGCTTTCTATTAATTTTGAGTAATGAATTCTTAGTACCTGCTTTACTTTTTCGTAGAGATTTTTACTAGAACTCTTATCTACAATGAAGAAATGTTACACTAAAATCATCCTATTTTAAATTAAACTATTACCTGAATGATCATCTAAGACAATACGAGCAACAGTCACTTCATTAGCATCCAGCAAAGCATCAATGACCTTTCTCCAAGTTATATCAGGATTATTATCAAGACAACATTGAGCTATAGCACTCCACACTGTGTCCCCTACTTTTTCTGTCTCTCTGATTCCAGTAATGACATCATGTGACACATTTAGAAGATAGCAGGCAAATTGTTCCCAAGTACCAGCAGCAAAATTTGAGCTACTCAATAACTCAACCAACTCATCTTTTGTTGGTTTATCTATAATAATGTATGAGTACTATTAATAATGAAGATCACTTTACCTGTAAGAGTGGGTCCAGGATTAAGCTCCACATCTCCTGATATGAAGAGGAGGATAGCAAGACAAAAAATAGACAAAGTTAGCTTAGGAGCATTCCCTTGCGTAGATGAAATCGTATTACTAAGTCCAGCTCTACTTGTGCTAGATCTACTACCAACACAATCCCGGGATTGCGAACAATTGCAACAGTTCCAAGACCCTATTCTAGCTCTCCATTGACACAAATCAATCATGTTGAAAAGCGTTAAAAAGGAGGCGAAAACTCGAAAAATTCCCTAGCCAGCTAGCCCCTCCCCTATTTTACTCAATTAATTATTATCATTATCAAAAATCTCTAAAATTGTTCAAAAGGATGAATTTAGAACACTATAGCTCGTTGGAAAAATAGGTTTCGATGACTTTAGACAAACAAATACACCCTGATATGTTTTGCAGCAATGAACTCCGGGAAGAGAAAGAGCTAGGGGATAAAAGAGATAACAAATGATAGATCAGATCGATCAGTAATAATTATTGATAATAAATGATGCATTAGAAATTATGATATATTTCACAATAGAAACAAGGGTTAACATTTCTTATTCATGCAACAAGCTTTGATCTTTAATAATTCATGCTTAATATATAGGCTTCTATTTCTGCTGGCTTAAACCGAGACAGCTAGGCTTATATTTGAGAATGTATACAGTACCTGAGTACATGTATGTTGAATTTATTGTGGGGTAAGGAACAAAGTGAGGAGAAGCACTAGAAAGCATGAAATAAAAGAGTGAATGGTTAGAAAAAAACAACACTAAGAATTAGCTAAATGATTAAGTGAAACAATTGGCAGGGATTAATAAAGAACAAATACAGTGACACATACTCACTTTATCCAAGCATTGTTCCATCGGATAAATAATTATACAACTTGTACTGACCCTGGCTATAGCTTTGTAAACTCTACAGTCAACAAAAGAGAATACAAATAAATGAAGCACTTAGTTCAAAAATAAATCTAAAGGAGGAACATTACCAGTGATTTTATTCATCGCTCCATGCACTTGTCAATATTTAACATGTTGGACAGCTATGTGTCTAGTACTGTCTACAGTATATCCTATAGTAGCAAGTAACTTGTTGCATGTACATGTAGGAACAGATAAAGTGATGCTAGTGTATGAACAGTTACAAATTGATCTGCAGAGGAACCACCTGAAATGACAGGAATACATCAATAACTAAAAATAGATCTTATGAATGAACACTTACAGTAACTGATGACGATACAGCTTGGGTTTGTTAGTATGCCACTGCAAAATAGAATTCAGTTCCTATTACAAAAATGATTAATTTACAAGTTTAATTTACTGCACAATATTAAGTAGAAAAACTAACTACAGAACATTATAGAATACCATAATTAGTAACTAAAAATAAAACTTGAAACTAAAGCAAAACACAAAATAATTATGACTTCATGTTGATTTAGGAAAAAATAAGTAGCAGGACACAAAAATACATGCACATACATGGCTTTCAAATTATTGTATAATAAACTGAGTCAGTTAATACAAATCATCAGTTAGGGATTCAGTCCCGAAAGATGGTTAATGATATAATGTTGTATCATCATTCTCAGTCAATATTTGATTTGATGGAAATATACATATAGTACATGTAATCTGGCCAAGACTACTGAAATACATACATGTATTTATACTAAATACTATACGAAGGCAATAAAAATAAAAATAAATAAGAAACAACTGAGAATAGTTTTTTGGTAATAATGCATGATGCTTATTTACACTCACTTAATTAGCTAAAAATAATCATTAATGTATAAAAAAAATCTGATGTTACCATGCGTGTAGTCATATTGTGTACAAATAAAAATAAACAAAAACATTACACAATGCAAAATACACTACATGCACAATTAAACATCAATATGTATTGTGTATCTATAGGTAATCAACAATAAAAATCTATATACTGATATATTAAAAGATTCACAAATTCAGTATAACAAATATCATTCTTAAAGCTTTGTCCTTGCTTGAATAAATGTACATGTGCATGTAACTAGAATAAAGATTATTGGCATGATTTACGGTGCATTCCTCATCAGTGTATGTTGGAATGGGAAGTTTCTTGTTGAAATGAACAAAAGGATAATCTTTTCCCTTTTCGGTAGTCCAACACCAATGATACAACACGCTCATCCTAAATTAACAATTAGCATATAATAGCTAAATATCTAAGATGACAATTCATCATTAAAAGCTGTGAGAAAATTATTTGTCCTACTACAAGTACACGTACGTTGCAAGTTTGAACAAAAGACAGTTCATTTTACATGCATTTATGTGCCTTTAATGGCAAATGTTTATTTGGCATGGCATTTATTTTGTGCAAGGCTAAAAACTACTAAATTAATTTCACTAAAATTTAACAAAAATTTGTAAAAACCACAAAAATAAATCCAAACAAAATGAAAATTTGAGGTCAAAAGATACTACACTTGTATGATTTACTTCTCTGGTTAAATTGTGAATGGCATCCATTTCCAAGGTCTAATGTGCTTCCTTCCCAGTCTTGCCTTTGGGTGCCTGTACCCTAATCCACTGTCAGTTTGTATCAGGTGTGTACTAAAATAAAATAATAAAATTAATATTATGATTTACGAGCATAAAATTTTATTCAAGGTTTATTCCTAAATAATAGACGTATATGTACATAATACTTTTCTATAAATCTCACCTGCCACCATTAGGTGTAATATGAACACAATGTACTGAGCCTACTAACTTAAACAAAATTTGATAGTGTCCCAGTAACTTCTAACTTGCTCAAAAAAGATGCAACACAAATGTAACAAATGGAGGTGCACATTAAATATTAATATAATAATTATAGTGCTACTATAAGTATTAATAGTGCTACTATAAGTATTAATGAACTCATATTAAAGTAAAGTAGAGCATACACTTCCCTAATCATACCTAAAAATTACAATAATTACAAATAATTAGAGTGCACCTTATGAGAGATTCTATTCAGTCAGTTGAAGTGTCTTGGTAATACAATCCATCATGATCTCATAAGCTCACTACAATTCTATTGATCTATATTTTAAAAGTATTTATTAATACCTGGGACTAGCTGGGAGACTCTACAGGCATGTGCTGTCTCAATTTTTTTGTCCTGGCAAAAGAATTGTGCTATAACTCTGTACTTCCATGTGCATATGATTCTTTCAGTCATGTCACAAACAAAGACCAGCTTTAAAAGCTTATTACAAAATATTTAAAATAAAATATGCTGCCATATTCACCATGACTTAGCAAAAAACTGAAAAAATTTTCAATATATATAGTAAAATTTTTTGCAAATCCCAATGTGCACAAAATGGCAAAAGATTGGATATTAATTTTTTATTGGAACAGACAAACTATAGAATATTAGATTTATGATTAAATTAACAGTAAGTATAAGTTTCAATAAGCATGCATTAAGCAAAATTTCAGATGTTTACTAAAGATATAATAAACTGTCTATTCAAAACTTTTAGTAAAATGGCTTCGCCTGAACTGTTATTATTAGTAGTTATGGCATGTAGTTATCTTCGAAATAAGCTGCACTGAGAATTATTATTATTATACAGTGGCATAAGTAAAAAATACTACAAAAATTAATAAACCCTAATATAATTTATGCCACAAATCAGCTAATTTAATAACAATCAAAAAGTATAGTCTTTAGAATTAGATCAATATATTATGAAGCCTAAAATTACTTAAGCAATCATTGTTTTAGGCACCAACTGAGCCAAATTTGTACCTGCAGCATCAGATACTTCCGATAATGTCTTCATTTCTTTTTGCTTTGTATAGTAAGGATCACAAGATTTCTTGAAAAATGAACCAAGAATACTAGACACTGATATGGTAACTGTACTGGTACTGTTTAACATTGAATCCGGACCAGTTGGTGTGTTAGTAATTAGTAGGTGCTTAATATCAGCTCGATCAAAAAGTTTGATATCATTCACTATATTCAGTGCATTAACTCCTTCGTTGTTTGCTTTGCCAATATCAGCGCCAGCTTTTAGTAATGCATCAACTATTTTTATGTGCCCACTTGAAGCTGCTATCATTAATGGAGTTATACCAGCTACCAGTGGAGTATCTGGACTCATACCCAGGCCATGAATTATACTATTTAACATTTGTAAATCCCCTTCAGCAGCTGCTACTAATAACTTTCTCTCATTAGTTGAAAGACTTATTTTTTCAGACAGGTGAATCATCATTGAAGAATGACATACGTAACATGCAAGATTAAAAGCACTAACAATGTTTTCAGGTGTGATTTCACATTTCTCCATTAAGATCACAATTGCATCAAAGTTATTAAATAATGCTGCCACTGCTAATGAATGATAATATCTGTCATTCATAGTATGAATGTGATTAGGATGAGAGTTAAGCATAAGTTTTAATATTCTACAGTAATTCCCAGATCGTAACTGGTTCATACACCGGGTAGATAATTTAAGAGGAATACCAAGAACCTCAAAACTAAAAGTAGAGCAAGCTAGAATAAAGGTAAAGGCACTGTGCCCTTCATTATTTTGAATGTTAATATCTGCATCTTTTCCCAATAAAAGCTCAACAACCTCGTGACATCCACCGATACTGCTTAGCATCAAAGCAGTCCACCTAATATTATTATGAAGGTTAATATCCGGATTTTTACTCAGTAAGAGTTCAACAACCTGTTGATGTCCATTGTTGCTAGCACTCATCAAAGCAGTCCATCCAGAGTTATTTTGAGCATCAATAACTGGATCTTTATCAAGTAAAAGTTCAACAACCTGGTGATACCCATGGTGACTAGCATACATCAAAGCGGTCCATCCATCATTACTTTGAATATTAATATCTGTTTCTTTATTTAGTAACAGTTCAACAACCTGGTGATATCCACTGGCACTAGCAAACATCAAAGCAGTCAACCCAGCATTACTTTGAATGTTAATATCTGGATCTTTACTGAGTAAGAATTTAACAACCTGAAGATGACCCTTGCCACTAGCAAACATTAAAGCAGTCAATCCATCGCTAGTTTGAATGTTAATATCTGGATCTTCATTCAGTAACAGTTCAACAACCAGGTGATGTCCACGATTACTAGCATACATCAAAACAGTCCATCCATCATCATTTTGAATGTCAATATCTGGATCTTTACTCAGTATCAATTTAACGACATCGTGATGCCCACTGGCACTAGCAAACATCAAAGAAGTCAATCCAACAATATTTTGAATGCCAATATCTGAATTTTTATTTAGTAAGAGTTTAACAATCTGATGATGGCCATGGCCACTGGCAAACATTAAAGCAGTCATTCCTTTATCGCATTGAGCATTAATATCTGGATCTTTATTCAGTAATAGTTCAACAACCTGGTAATTTCCATTGTTACTAGCATGCATCAAAGCGGTCCATTTATTATTATTTTTGATGTTAATATCTGGGTTTCTACTCAGTAAACATTTAACAATCTCGAGATGTCCAGCAATACTACCAAACATCAAAGCAGTTGATCCATCAGTACTTTGAATGTTAATACCCCTTGGATCTTTACTAAGTAATAGTTTGGCAATCTGGTTATGTCCATAAATGCTAACAAACATCAAAGCAGTCAATCCAACACAATTTTGAATGTCAATATCTGGATCTTTACTCAGTAAGGATTCAACAACCTGATAATGACCCTTGCCACTAGCAACCATCAAAGCAGTCATTCCTTGATTGTTTTGAATGTTAATATTTGGATCTTTATTCAGTAATAGTTGAACAATCTGGTGATGCCCATTGTCACTAGCAACCATCAAAGCAGTCCATCCATTGTTATTTTGAATATTAATATTTGGCTCTTTACTCAGTAAGTATTGAACATTCAAGAAATCTCCCATTCTACTAGCAATCATGAGGCAATAGCTAATATTTTCAAAAAGCAAACTATTGTTAAGTCCAAGTAAGAAATGCAGTACATTTTCGTTGCTACTTTGATGTGCTTCTTGCAGTGCAGCTTCAAATGTAAATGACTTATTTTTATCGTCCCTCATGAGAGCAATATCATTAAGAATAACCTCAAACACACCAATTTCACATAAAAAAGCTCTCGATTCATTAACTGCTTCAGTTAATGTTTCTATTTGTAATTGAGGTATTGTATATGTACACATTAGGCTAGAGAAATCACAATTAATCTTCAGAAGAGTTATAAAGGATGAACTAGTAAAAAAGCAAAAATTTTCCATTTGGTTTAAATCTGTGATTGTCCTGGAGCCCCATGACTTGTTGAGTCTTAAAATTAATGTTGAATAGTGCATACCATAAGGATAATGCAATTCTTTAGTCATCATTGCAAGCTCCAAGAGGCTAGTGGTATCTTTAAATATCTTCAATTTAGCACTATAATCTTCTACCTGTTCCTTGATAGGAACAGGTAGGAGAGTGCATGCTACAGTAAGAAGGTTTATGTGGAAACTTGAGCAATGAGGTTGCAGTAACTGCACAAGTTGATGAGCATTTTCACATACAGCATCTCTTCTTATATATGGTTGAAACTTTTGCTTTGCTTCTAATACCATGGCTCTGCTGGTCAAATTATTCATTGCAGCATCAATAAAATTAGTACTTAATGCATGGAAAAAAAATTGCAGGGACCGAAATCTTTTTTTAACATAATTATCAACGAAGTGTGTAAATGAATCATAAAAATGACTACTCACTCCTCTTTCTTTAATGGCCATTTCCAGCATGTCCTCAACTGAAGTGTCATCTTGTGGTATTATTTTTTCTCCTCCAATTGATTTGTATATATGCTGACAGAGAGCAGTACATGCTAAACTATTCAATCCAATAAACCCTTCAATTTGCAATTTCACAAATGGATTGGCACCATTTTGTAGTAGCAATTTAAAAATTTCAATGTGTCCTCCTACACTTGCTGACATTAGTGCAGTTTCGCCACTAAAGCTCTGATAATTCAGATTTATTTTTAGTTCTATCAAAAGTAACAATAATCTGTAATATTCTGGATGACTTTCGATACTTGCAATGGACTGTAGAAGTGATTCTTCAAAAGTAAAGTTAATATCTTCCTCTTTGTCAATGATAGTTTGATTGCCAATGATCAGTTGAAATATACCAAGAAGATGCAAGAAATGAAATTTAGCTTTCAATTTTGCATTGAGAGATTGAACTAATCTGTTTGAAGAAACTAAAAATCGAATACAAATCGATCCTTGTAAAAACTTCTTTATGGTAACATATTTTGCTTCCTCATCAAATAAATATTTCATTAGCTTGTGAAGGTGTCCAATGGTTTTATCATTCCATTTTCCAGACAGTTTAAGAATGATTTTAGGATCAACTTTGGTACTTTCTCCAATGATTGCTGCTTTAATAGTTGTAACCATGTCATTAAGTTTTACAGAATCAATAAATTTATTAACGTCATCGCTATATTTATCAAACCTAGCCTGTAAAGCAGTATCATCAATCGGATAATCTTCTATGAGATCATTTATTGCATCAATGTCAATAAAACTGTGATGAGGCTGCATTCGCTCAAATATTTCATCAACAGTTACATGTTCACGTGCTAAACCAGTTTCATCAAAAGCAGATTGAACCCACCGAGCAATAACGATTGCATCATGTTTTCCACTGGATGCATAATATGTAATAATATCAGTAATTAACTTTGCATATTTCTTGTGTAAGTTTCGAAGTTCAATTGCTAAATTATCATTAGAGCTAAGTTGTACTTCTTTTGGAAAAAATTTTGTGACTACCTTAGTAAGAGAGAGCGATACTTGATCTTTGAACACTTCATTCTCCCAGTCTCTAGCTAGTGCCATTGCCTCTTCTTGAGCTGGACCTCCTGCAGTTGATAGACACTCTATAAAAAGGGAACACACCTCCATCATCTTTTTTGCATCCCCTTGGTATACAGAAACCATTGCCGAAAAATCTATCTCAATTTTTCCAAAAGTTGGTGAGTGTATAACTTGTTTAGTAATCAAATTTTTACTGTACAACTGACTGGCTACTTCTAAAAGGCAATTTTTAGTGCTTTCCATTAATTTTGAGTAATGACTTCTTAGTACCTGCTTTACTTTTCCATAGACATTTTTACTAGAACTCTTATCTACAATCAAAAAATGTTGCACTAAAATCATCCTATTTTAAATTAAATATTACCTGAATGATCATCTAAGATATTACGAGCGACAGTCGCTTCATCAGCATCCAGCAAAGCATCAATGACCTTTCTCCAAGTTATATCAGGATTACCAAGACAACATTGAGCTACAGCACTCCACACGGTGCCCTCTACTTTTTCTTTTTCTCTGATTCCAGTAATGACATCATGTGACACGTTAAGAAGGTAGCAGGCAAACTGTTCCCAAGTACCAGTAGCAAACTTTGAGCTACTCAATAACTCAACCAGCTCATCTTTTGTTGGTTTATCTATAATGATGTATGAGCACTATTAATAATAAAAATCACTTTACCTGTAAGAGTGGGTCCAGGATTAAGCTCCACATCTCCTGATATGAAGAGGAGGATAGCAAGACAAAAAATAGACAAAATTAGTTTAGGAGGTTTTCCTTGCGTAGATGAAGTAGCATTACTAAGTCCAGCTCTACTTGTGCTGCTACCAACACAATCCCGGGATTGCGAACAATTGCAACAGTTCCAATACCCTATTCTAGCTCTCCATTGACACAAATCAATCATGTTGAAAAGCGTTGAAAAGAGGCGAAACTCGAAAACTGGAAATGTGCCCTAGCCCCTCCCCTATTTAAAGAGGAGGACTCGATTATCTATTTATATTATCATAAAAATCTCTAAAATATTATTGTTCAAAAGGATAAATTTAGAACACTATAGCTCGTTGGAAAGATAGGTTACAATGACTTTAGACAAACAAATACACCCTAATGTGTTTTGCAGCAATGAAATCCGGGAAGAGAAAGAGCTAGGGGATAAAAAAGAGATAAATGATAGATCGATCAGTAATTGATAATAAATTATGCACCTTATGTTTCAGAAATATGATATATTCCACAATAGAAACAAGGGTTAACATTTCTTATTCATGCAACAAGCTTTGATCTTCAATAATTTAAGTTATAGGCTTCTATTTCCGCTAACTTAAACCAAGACAGCTATGCTTATATTTGAGAATGCATGCAGTACATGTATGTTAAATTCACAATGATGACGGACAAAGTGAGGATAATAACAAAAAAGCATAAAATAAAAAAATGAATTAGAGAAAAGAGAAACATGAAGAATTAGCTAAGTGAGTGAGTGAATCAGTTAGCAGGCTAATATAAAGAAATAGAAATCACCAATACAGTGACACATACTCACTTTTCCAAGCATTGATTCATTGGATGAATAATTTACTACTTGTACTGACCCTGGCTATAGCTTTGTAAACTCTACAGTCAACAAAAGATAATACAAATAAATGAAACACTTAGTTCAAAAATTAATTTAAAGGAGGAACATTACCAGTGATTCTATTCCTCATTCCATGCACTTGTCAATAATTAACATGTTGGACGGTTGTGTGTCTACAGCATATCCTATACCAGCAAGTAACTTGTTGCATGTACAAATAGGAACAGATAAATTGATGGTAGTGTATGAGCAGCTACAAATTAACCTATAGAGAAACCACCTGAAACGACAGGAATAAATCAATAACTAAAATAGATCTTATGAATGAACACTTACAGTAACTGATGATGATACAGCTTGGGTTTGTTAGTATGCCACTGCAAAATAGAATTCAGTTCCTATAAAAGAATAACTAATTTACAAGTTTAATTTACTGCACAATATTAAGTAGCAAAACTAACTACAGAACATGATAGAATATCATAAGTAGTAACTAAAAATAAAATTTGAAACTAAAGCAAAACACAAAATAATTATGACTTCATGTTGATTTAATAAAAAATAAGTAGCAGGACACAAAAATACATGCACATACATGGCTTTCAAATTATTGTATAATAAACTGAGTCAGTTAATACAAATCATCAGTTAGGGATTCAGTCCCGAAAGATGGTTAATGATATAATGTTGTATCATCATTCTCAGTTAATACTTGATTTGATAGAAATATACATGTACATGTAGTACATGTAGCATCAGCGTCAGAGTCATACACAGGGTTTCCCATAGGATTATGGCATAGTGCTCATGTACAGTAGCTTCTGGTCAGTAAATTATTAATTTACTCAAAAATCAGGCCAAACACCTTGTACTCTAGTACAGGGATTTTTGCCAAATTTCGTCAAAAATGAAAAGTAATGAATTCTCCAGTTTTATAATTTTTTCTGAAGTATATACATGTACTCATGTTGCGCAGAAAGTTTGAACTAATTCTCATCAAATTTGGATTTTTCATGAATATTTAAATGAGTTTAAAAATCAGGCCAAAGACCCTGTACTATAATACAGGGATTTTTGCCAAATTTTGTCAAAAATGACAAGTAGTGAACTCTCCATTTTTATAATTTTTTCTGATGCATATACATGTACTTATGTTGCGCAGAAAGTTTGAACCGAATCCCATCAAATTTAGATTTTTCATGAATATTTAAAGTTGTTAAAAAATCAGGCCAAAGACCCTGTACCATAGTACAGGGATTTTGGTCAAATTCCGTCAAAAATGAAAAGTAGAGAATTCTCCATTTCTATAATTTTTTCTCAAGCATATACATGTATTTATGTTGTGTAGAAAGTTTGAACCGATTTCCATCAAATTTGGTATTTTTAATGAATTTTTAATGCTACACGTATTTAGCTCACTTATATGTAGCATGGTTTATGGAAACTATACAGTACAGTATATACATATATTGATATACAGTGTCTATTGACGTACAGTGTGAGTGCATGTACATGTACATTAATGTACATACTTTGTGCTATTATGCACATTGATTCATTGGAATTAATTGTAATAAGACTACATGACATAAAGAATAATCAAAGATACATGACATAATACATGTACTTGTAGGTATTTCAAATTTCTTAGTTCTTTATAGGCTACATGGACATTTCAGAATCAAAACTGTTTGAATTTGAATTTGCCCCAGTCGCTAAATACTCAAAATTGACTAAAAATAGCTCATACTTTCTACACAACAGATAGCATAATTAAAAGAAATAAAATCTGTCCTGGCTAGTATTGATATAATTCCTGTACTAATAGTAATGCAGCAGTGTTACTACATGTAAGCAGGATAGTTAGCCAAATTTTGAAGATTTAAAAAAATAATGCTAAAAATCAAATTTCGACTGGAATCATCTGAAACTTGTAACTAACATACATGTAACATAAATGTACATGTACGTGCATCATAAAATGCAATAAAACTCTTTCATGGTCGTTGATTTAATTTTAAAGCAACCTTTAAAATCATAAAAATTAAAATTTGATTAGAATAGGCTCAAAATTAATATTATAGACCATGCCAAAAAATGAGATAAATTAATTGAAATACATAATTCCTTTGTTGATGATTTCTATGCTCATGTTGGCACTTGCACTATCATAAAATATATTTTCCTATTACAGTACTATTATTATGAAATATTAACCCATCTCTGGCATGGCACTATCAGACTACAAAAAATACCAATTAATTAAAATGCTTGACAATACTAAAGCCACAGTACATGAGAGTAAATCAATCCTTTGCTTACTTCACACAACTTCAATTATGAATCATACTCCCAGTCTTCCAGTGTATAGTACAATACAGCAATCCATCATACACTAACAGAGAAGAGACAATGTTAACAACATCTCAAACGTAACATCTAAATTGTTACAAATAAAAGAGAGATAGGCAATATATTAGATACACTGATTCTGATTAAGTACGTGTACATGTAGACGTATTTTGCTCCAATAACCAAGCCTAATATTTTTCAAAATTAAGCACATTGTAATTATACTATAAATGCCTCCCATCCACAAATCAACTCAAACCAAAACCCTTAACAAGAGGGAATCCTAATCAACAAGAGGGTGTGGTTTTTGGATGATGTATATAAACTTCTTTTTCATTACATGAAGCAATCACCAAACTTGACCCATTCCCAAAAATTAAGCAACCGATTTAGGTATGCGTTTCTAATATCATTATTATATAGACTAGCTCTATAAAACGAGGACTAGCGGCGCCGCTCAGTCTTGCTACCCATGATCATTCCCCAGACTAGAGTTTAGGAAGCGGACTCACTTTTCAGTAGTAGCATGATTTTCAGACTCCAATCACTACATAGATCCAGTGAAAGCATAGACTGGTAAAAGCATGGAACTAGGTAGATTTAACTAGGGAAAGTAACTTGATTTCCCGGGAGGCGGAGTTTCCTATCCCTTCAATTCAATTTGCAAGTAGGATTTCAAACGACCATCGAAAATACGAAATGAAAATCCTACTCTTGTGATGCAAATTCTACTCTACATTGTACTTTTAATATTATTATGTAAGAAATTACGGATTACCTTGCAATGTAGAGTAGAATTTGCGTCACGAGAGTAGGATTTTCATTTCGTATTTTCATTGGTCGTTTGAAATCCTACTTGTCCTTGTTTCTATTACTTTTTTTACGAATTTGCTCTAGAATCCTACTCCATCTTGTTTTTTTTTTTTAATTTTTATGGTCTTGCTACTATTAGATCTAACTATATTATTAAAAAGTACACTAATTATTACTATACTGACATCATGTCATTATTATTATTGTTTCTGCACAGTTCATCTTCTTCCTCTTGTTTATCACCTTCATTCTTTATTGCCATGCACATCCTATACCAATTGAAATAATATGTAATTGTAATAGTCACACTCAGTATATAATTACACAATTTTCTTTTGACCTGTGAGTCATACAATGGTCTTATACTATGAATAAATATCACAGTGACATAGTACCTTACCTCTGATTTAATGCACATCATTGTTCTTGGTTCATCATATACTAATTCTTGTTCATCAATACCTGTAATAATTCAATATTCACCACACATTAACAATACTCTGCTATTGATTCATACACACTATATACATGCATACTTTCTATTCCTTCTCTGTTGTGAATACCATAGGCAGGATTAGCAGAGATACCAGATTCTATTAATAGTTGCATTGATTGATAATAATGGTTCATCTTACTTTCAGTAATTATACTATAAGCAGGATTAGCAGATACATAAGTATTACAGTCTGTGTCATTATGTTAGTATCATTATTGTACTTATATAATATTGGTCTTACTTTCACCAGTAACTCCATAGGCAGGATTCTGTCCTTCATTCATTCTTAGTGCTATTAACCAGTAAATTGTATTGATACTAATAATTTCACTTTTAATTACCATCTGATTGTTGATGTATATCAGCTTTTTTTTCATCAGAACTGAAAGTCTCATTTTCATTTGATGTTTTATACAATCTTCTCCTATACACTAATGCGCCCACTATTAATATTACTAGTATAGTAACTACCAGTAATATAAATACTGTACTAAGTACTGCTGATAGTGTATTACTCCCTGTGCTTTGAAGTGTACCTTCAGTGGATAGTGTAACTGATGGATTACTGGTTGAACTATCAGTAATTGATGTACTACTGATGGTTGATACTATGGGAGGAGGAGGACTGACTGTACCATCACTGATTGATGGTGTAGGACTAGTAACAGGAAGGGTCGAAGGCAGAGTGTTTGATGATTGAGAGTGTGTGTTTGTGATGTGAAGTGTATTGTTTATTGAAATTGATGTCAATAGTGTGAGGAAACTGGTCATCAAGGCTTGAATGTGTGAGTTTGTTGTTAGTGATTGAGTATATGTAGAAGTAAGAGTGGAGGACATTTCTAGTATTGATGGACTTGGCTCTATAAGGAACAACAAAGCAACAGTGATAGTTCCTATTGAATTACAATACATATCTTACCTACTACAACTGACATCAGTGGATAGTCATTATGTTCCAAGGGTATTAATCCATTGCTGCTATCAAGCTGATAATTCAATGGTCCATTGTATTGTTGATAATACATTGGATTACTATTAGTGGTTACATTGATTACTAATATATCTCCATACTGTACTTCAATATCACTAGTAAAGTTATGTACATTACCATTACTTGATGTAGCAGCAGAAGCATCAACAGTTAGTACATGAATCAGTTCAGAAGAATGTTTTAAATAAATGTTAGGATAATGTTTGCTTTTAGTCTGATTCTGTGTAATACCAATTATCCAGTTAGTAATAATACCATTACATGTGAACTGTATATCAGGAAAAGCTCTTGTATCATTGACTGGTATTACATTAGTCACTGATAGACTGTTTGTATTAAATGAGCTTTCATTAATTGGAGGATAGTTACAATTGTTACCTAAAATACATTAAAATAATAAATACATTTCATTAATGACATACTTGTAATTGGATGTATTAGGATACTTGAGTTTTGTAATGTTATTTCCTTTTTTCTAACTTTGCGATCATTATTGGTATAATCTTCTGCTCTTCCAATTTGACCAGTACCAGTTACTTTATAAAATCTCACAACACTTCTATCATCAGGAGGTTGATATACTCCTAGTCTATAATCATCATATCCCGCCTCAATCTTCAAAGGAAAAGGTAATGTATAACGATACAGTCCATTGGCAGTGAAATTTTGTGGAGATAATCTAAGTTCAACAGACACTGGGTCTCTGTAAAAATTTCCTCTTTCTCTCCATATCTCTATTCTAGGATATTGGTTCCTATTATCAGTTTCAGTTCTAATGTCAACTCCAACTAATACTTCAGTCAGTTCAAAATCACAACCCCCAATGAACTTTTTATCTTCTTCAGTTATGATCCATCTTGTTTCTACTGATTCTGCTAGTCCTGCAGTACTTGGTCCATTGTTGTTAGTACTGCCAGTTTTATCCTCCAGTAAACTTAGTTCCATAAATCCTTCAGTACTACAATCATTAGACTGTACTGTACCATTTAACAATAACAACAATAAAGAAAGGAGAGAGAGAGAAGAAGGACTCATCTTGACTGTTACACAACCTGTATGCAATGTTGATTTTACCATTTCCTATAGATAGCATCATGCATAACTGCCACACCTTAAAAATATACCAGTAACTCTTCAGAGCTGCTATTGCATGAATAGAGTATCAATATTCACCAGTAAACCAATCTTAGTTATAATACACACATGAAAAAGAATTTTTTTTACATTAACTATTGAACTGATGCCTTGTTTATCCATTATGCACAATCAGATGAATTATTAAAAATTAATTGTTACTTCTGCAGCAAAATACAATATTACCGGTATTACAATGTACAGAAATCAAACTATTTAACACAATGTACAGGTATATAAACTGGCTACACAATCAATCAGTTCTTGTACATGTACTGTAAGTCGGTGTAGAGGGAGTGGCTTGCTTCTAAAGCTCCGCCCAGTACAGTAACAGGATCCTCTTTATTAATCATTAGTAATTGTTTATCAGGTGAGGATAGACTTGATGATATATCTGAGAAACTTGGACGATTATGAGTATCAGGATTCCTACACAATACAATGATAACATCATTATTACATAATACTATTTATGTGTGGGTGTGCATGAAAGCATGTTGTGGTTGTGCATAATCCACTCAATTCACATTATTAGATGTACACTCACTGCACTGTGTAGTACATTGGTATATAATGTCATTATGGATATTAGTAATTTGACACAAAAGGTCATGTTTGTGTCTGTGTTACAATATTATACATTTCCCATTATAATAATAAATACATACCAGCATTGCATCATTAGTTTATACATTGGTTTAGGACATCCTGGAGGAGGTGGTAATCTATAGCCTGAATCAACCAGTCTAATGCACTAAAATTCAATAAATTAACAATAATAATAATTATTACTATTATTTAAATTGTATATAAATACTTCTTGATTAGTAGAGCTTTCAAATGGTTTATGTCCTATTGACCAAATCTCATACATTACAGTTCCATAGCTCCACACATCACTAGCACTGGAATATTTCTTATAATGTAATGCCTATACATACACAATTTAATATTCTAATTATATAGTTTGTAACTACTTCTGGTGCTGTCCATTTTATTGGAATCTTTTTTGATTGTGAAATATAATAAGATTCATCTTTTAGATCCCTTGACATACCAAAGTCCGCAATCTGAGACCATACTATATAAAGTCCAATTGTTAGTACTAATCTCTTACCTTGCATATTCCTGTTCCTTCATCTGATACTAATATATTTCTTGCTGCAAGATCTCTGTGAACAAACTTCTTTCTTGACAAGTACTCCATTC